TAAAACTGAAGGGATTTAAATTAATACTGTCTTGTGGTTGAATAGTTTTCCCTGCATTCATAATTCTTTTCATTTTCTTTTAAGATGAATACAATTATGTGTGTGAGTTTGCGATGCTAAAACGAGGAAGCTTAGCTTTTATTTCATGTTTTCGGAATCTTTATTTATTGGGTACAATTCTTGTTGCACAAAACAAAATGAGCTGGGAAATTGGTCAGTGTTATTTTAACAGCAGGCTGGAAAAGCTTTTTTCAACGTGATTTCGTTTCTAGCCGTTGAGATTGGTTCTTGAGATAGCATCTGTTTTGATTGTGGTACGGGTTATCATGGATTCCTTCCCAATGTTGGCCATATTACTCGTTGGATGAATTTGAATAGGGACATGAAGCTTTGGACAGCTGAATTGTAGGAAGTATGGCAAAAATGATTAATGAACGGGCTTCAACCAGTGCAGATGTTCCACCAACTCCTGAATCGACTACGGTAGCGACACATGTGCAGCAACTAGCGGACAATATGTATGAAAAAGTTGCGGCTTATCTTCAAGGACAGATCGAAGGTATTATTTGCAGAAAATTAATGCATCTTGCAGTAAGCCGTACATTCAAATGAGTTTCCCACGTCCAGGAAAATATGAATACCTGGCGCTATCTGTTATAGGTACCATTGCGGAATATAAGTTGTTGAAGAACATGAATAATGCTACAAGTCAACGTTATGATGACATGATGCAAGTGGCTAGTGGTGTTGCGGAGAAGCTGTCACAATTGAATTCGAAATGTAATCATTTTGCTATGTTTCAGTAGTTGTTTGTGGTTGTCGAAGAAAATTTGGTGTAGTTTCCGTGGTTGTACAAAAACAGAATTTTCTGCAGATGAGACGTTACGTCCATATTTGCAACAGATCGATGAAGTTGATGAAAATACAAGAAGACTGGAGGAAGCTGCCAATGCTTTGGACCGTTACGTGACTGCCCTGGGTGAGTGACACGGAACAGTCTTTGCGTGGACGTTAGGTTTCCAGTCTTTCCAATATCAAAATATTGTTTTCACTTCAGTTGAGTTCAAATATATTTGGGAATTTCATGTTTTAGAAACGAAATTCCGTGAAATGCAGCGTGATGGTGGTTCGCCTAACTAATTCTGTTAGCATATTACCGTTATCTATAATCAGTATTGCCAACGACAGTCTGGTCATTATTATGAAGTTTTTTATGGCCCATTTGATTCTTTCTCAATTTAATGTTCGCTGATAATAGTATTTCATTTTTTAGTTATGCTTGTAAAAATATATAGTAGTTAATGTTGATCTTGTGATTGCGCGTTTCTAGTCCAAATTTATTCAATTTTTCTTACCATATAGTTTTGTTAAGAAGTTGCTTTAAATCACATGTTATATAGGTACAGCAGTTTATTTGTGATGTTCAAATATGGAAACAAAAATGTTCTATTTTGGTTAAATGCACTGTATTCATTTAATTGCTCATACAGCTCTTTTTTTTTCATGTCAGAAACATTAATGAACTAATGCTTATTGACGAGGGATTTGCAACATTACTGGAAACGTTTCGAAGAATGTGCATATACCAGAATTCAAATGGACCGTTGACTTGTTGCCCCAGAAATTGTTACAAATGGTGCAACAAGTCATCTGTGCATCTGAATTCTGTCATCTATATTCTTTTTGAGATTTTTTCAATATTCTTACAAATATCACTTCATTTATAATTAACTTTCTTTAGAGTTTTTCCAAGTTGCCGTTTCATATTTGTAAATGAACTTCATAAGGCCCAGAATATCCTGGATTTTTGTCAGGAATATTAAATTGCCAAAATGCTTTTTTGTGATAATTTTGACCGAAGTGTTAGTAAAGTTGGTATGAATTTTAAAGTGGGACGCTATAGCTAGAATGATATCACAGTTCATTTGTTAGCATGTTTATTTGCTCATTGATGTAACGGTGGAATACGAAAAAAAGAAATGCCAGTATTACTCACTTGAATTTGAACATTTTCAGAAAGCTGACTCATCTTTGATCACGGAACTATATAGATGTTTGTGTTATTACGATGTACCTTAATTCAGTCTGTAACTTTCTAGTTCGTGTGAGGTGCTACAGCAGGTCGATTTATCGACAAATAATTGATGCAAATCGTCGTGTTCCTCAGTAAACCTGCTATTAAACTTCCTGAGAATTAGCCCTAAGACGGAAGCACAAACAGTTTGGACAAGGGTATTTTTTTGCGGTTTGGAAGACTTGATGGTGATCAGTTGCAACACACTAGCGACAAGTGGTTGTGTATAGAACAGCATAGATGGTTTTTGTGAACCGGATATTTGACAAGTATCCCATATAGGCGAAATTTGTCCTTATTACTAAGCGATAATTAAACATTCATAAAATTTTGTCAGATCAGACATTCAAAATTTATGGTACTGTATGATATGTAGCACTGGATGATATTTAAGACTATCTGAATTTCAGCAGTATTGTAGTTTGCCTTTCTAATTCCTTTTTTCAAAAATCTCGAACTTATTCCTTGTCAGCAGCAACTATAATGGTAATTTTACACTGCTCATGCTTTTCACCATTGTTAAAGTTTGCTTCATAATGTCATAACGATAAGATAGCGCTCCATAAGTTTTTATCTTTTTTTAAAGAATTTTGATTACCACTCAAACATTCATGTTTATCATTTATACAGAACCCGTGCTATGAAAAGCTGGTTAGAAAGAATTCACATTTATTGCTCCAAACCCTTCTCTTAAATATTGATACTTTAATAGCTATTTTCAGGAGGAATTCATTTCCAGCTGGTTAACTTAGTCTTTAAACTACAAAACTGGATCAACACATAAATTGAGCTTTAAGAGTTAGAGGATTGAATTAAATGCTTAGGAATGTACGAGGTGTTTTTTTTCTTGACTTTCGAGAAATACTTAATATTTAACTGGATCTCTCTAGGAATGCAAAATGCTCAAGAAGTATATTTAACACTTACACCTAGACACTTACCTTGGCCATTTTTAATAAAGGTTACTCAAGTTACAAACAATTAAAAAAATATGGAAATTTTTATATTATTCTTTAATATCTGTTAGAGGCAAAACACTTCTTATAGTTAGCAACAAACACACTTTGGAACTATTTGGTATTTAAAATAGGTTTGAATTATTTTCAAGATTTATCACAATTCTGCATAACATAAATTTAGTAAATAACTGATCCAGTAACTATAACTAAATGATTATCAGCGTTTGATATAAAAAATGATAAACGAATGGATCAATCTATTAAACTCTTTCAGTTACTAAAGCAATCGGCGATTCGTAAATGCAATTTTTTAATTGAAAAATAGAAAAACAGGATAAATCAATCTGAAAAATAACAAATTCCAAAGTTGGCAAGGATAGTGAACAGTAAATAGTCCTATATTTATTTTACATACATATATAATCTCAGTACACTCTAAAATATGTGTATATATATACACACACACACACACACATGCACATACACATACACACATAGACAAATAGTGAAATTTTTACACTTCAATTGCAGTTGAATGCAGTGAGATATATAAACTGTTGTGAAGGTATAGTAAGCTTTTAGTGGAAGTGTTGAAGAATGAAGAAAGAGTTGTAGTGATCGGTGATATATTCAACGGAGATTATTGCTATGAAGAAAACAAATTTGAGAAAGTGAGTGGAAAGAAAAGATAAGAGGAACTTCTTATGATCAGGAACACATTCTAATCAAATTCAACCTTACAATTCCTGTTTCACAGTCTGTGTATGTGTACATCTCTCTGTTTCTATATCTGTCTGTGTGTATGTGTGTGTGTGTATGTGTATATATGTGTGTGTGTGTATGTGTGTGTGTGTGTGTGTGTGTGTGTGTGTGTATTTAGATTTATTCTATTGCAGCAGCAAATATTTGATCCTTTGCTTTACACAATGCAAGGACTAATCATTATCCTGACATCTCCTGTTTTATCATTGTCCTTGAGAAACTTTTACCATCTTTTAATTATTCTTTTTCTTTTTGCTTCAGCAACCTTTACATTAAACTTTTTCTTCCTTTTCATTAAAATGAGATAATTCTACACTATTCATCCTAAATTTTATCCATCCATTTTTCCTTTGAATCTTCCTCTGTCCATTTCAATAAATTTTTACCCGATTACTTATGCTTATGCAACTTTTATCATTTCATATTCTAATTTCTACTGATAAAATTCATTAAGCGGTTTTCCCTATTAGTATTTGTATCACTTTTTTAAGTTACTCACTGATAGAAATAACAATAACCGCTACCATCATTTGAGCTATCAGTTAGCAGCTAGCGTAATTTTCTATGTTAGGTGACAAACTTCACCGTAAACTTTTAAATTTTCTCAAAAAGTGAAAATTTTCAGTTTTTTAAATCATCTGTTTTTGTGCATAATCTTCGATGTTTATAAAATTTCGACTTCGCCAAATCATGTTATCTTCACTTGACTCTGTAGATATTTTGGGAAAACTTAGTTTTTTTTGGTATTTTTGGTAGATTTTCTTTTGATAATTTAATTTTTTGGTGAAATTTAGTTTTTTGATAGGTGATTTATGAGTTGAGTCTTTGTTCTGCATAATTTGATCAGACAATTTCATCGTATTGTAAGAGTGACAAAGGAGTGGTTCTTATGCCTTCAGAAAGATAGTACCCAAATCACTGGTAATATAATCAACAGTGAGATTAATCGATTAATCGAGATCATTTAACTTGTGCATCGTATCTTTGCACTGTCCGATCGCTATAAGGAAAAGATTATGTTAGCATTTAGAATGATACTACGCTGAATAGACTGGATAATGATGATAAATAGGAAATTATAGTTAGATTGCTGGTGATTATCACCAGTAATGCAGTTGGCAGAACTATATTAAGTTCTGCAATGTTCATTATCTTTAATCCTGCACTACTGTACTCTTCAGTTAGAGCAATTAAGCAGAAACTCGGTTCTGAAGTTATTGTTGGTTGCATCGACGCTAAATAAATAAATAAATGTATACGTATTTGCTTATTTATTTATTTAATTTGTCTATTTATTTTTGAAACGGGAAGTGCAGGCCGTAAGTCTATCAAATAGAAGAGCTGAAAAAAAATGGGGAATTAATGAAATTAATTTTAGAAATTGGTTAAGGTAACGGTTAACTTCACGTGCTTCAGCAGTATTCCGGAATTATTTCTCTCTTCTCTCTCTCTACATATATATATATATATATATATATATACATATATATAATATATAATATATATATCGGCCAGCATTTTCTCGTCTTTGTTGTATGCTAAAAATAATATGAGCAATGGGAAAAAATAATCTAATTGGTTGAGTACCACAGGATTTCGAGCTTGGGAAGTTTGAAATGAAAGTTCCTTATCTGTACTGCATTTTTCATGAAACGATTTTTCCTTCATCATCTGTATAAATTATGATTGATTTGTTTCAGACGAAATGGATAATAATACTGTACAGGATGAAATACCAACTTTGGTTGAAAACACAAAATCGGATGAGGTAACCCTTCTTTTCTTTCGTCGTTCCAAAGAAATTCCGAGGATCCTTATTTCTTTGGTCTGCTTATTTCAATATCATGATTTACACTTATATTTCTCCTTCCTGTAACACTTAAATAGTTATGGTTATATTTTTTTTTGGCTGGTGATAAAAATTCTCAGATGATGGGTTGTGTTTTTTAGCCCAATAATTTTGCTTTTTCAGGCTCTAAAATACCTAATGTTAACTGAACATATTCATTGTGAAAGACCTTCCTCACCATGAAATATTTATATTACATAAATTATACTGGTGAAATTGTTTAGGAAGATGTGGAAGCAGGAAGTTCAAAACGTTCAGCAACTGACAGCCATTCGATTGTAAAATCATTTGATAATAAATACGATTTTGGTACCAAAAACATCCCTCATTTAGAGCCTACTTCATCCAGAAGCTCTACTCCTTTTAGGTTTGATGCTTATGTATTTTTAAACTTCAAATTTTGCTACATTATGATGTTTGTTGAATATCTCTGTTTATCGAAAAAAACTATATGACTTTCTGTGCCACTGAAAAAAGTACGTTAATTATCTTCTGGTATCTTGAGATTGCGCCACAAAAGAAATTGATGTAACTAGACGTTAAGCATAATCTGTTGTACTTCTTCAATTTTTCCATAGAGTGGATGCCTTGTAGAAATAATGACATAGTAATCGCATTTGCTGTCGTATATCTTTCGTATCGATTAAAACTAATCAATCTGGAACCGGAAACTTTAAGTAGAATTTCCGGAGTGTTTAATGATAAAGATGATTAGATGATTGCACATAACTGATCTCTTTTACTATCCCACATTTACTTTGAAGACACGACTAACAGTAGGAAACGCGTTGTGTTGAAGAACCGCAGAAGTCTAATAATGATGTGTAATTAAAAAACAATTTCAGACACGTAGAAAACATTAATTACTTACAAACAAATACATATAGTTTCTCCTAATCATCCATTACGAATTTTCACTAACAAATGTTTGTAAATATGAAAGAATCATTATAAATGATAATACATCTACGCCTCTATTACAGTACTCGATATCCAGTGCATATGCCATCTTTCAAGCGGATAGATTTTACTGATTTAAGTGATGCATTGGTTGAAGAAAGAAAACCTGCTTGGAAATTGTGGCAGGATTCGATTAAAGATTCTTATCATACGGTAAGTTGCTGATTTTTTCATATTCTTTCAATTAAAATCAATTCCACCTCGATCTATGTTAATTTCTTATCTTTTTTTCGACACATTCTTTTCTATGATATTGCGTTATGAATAATAATATACTCCATTTTAAAAAGCTGAGAAAGAAAGTTAAAATAAATCTTTCAGGTTCGTAGAAATGCTGAAAAAAGCGTTGAAGAAACAACATTTAACGATTCCCAATTAGTACGACGTCGCGGAAAACGTTCTGATAGTCCATTTGAAGAATTATCAATTCGTAGTCCATCTGTTCGAAGGCCAAGTCATCATGCATTATATCCGCAAACTACAGGAATTTACCATGAAACGGGTTAGCATTTTTTTAGTGGAATCTTTTCAGTTATTTTAATCGATCGAAAGTCAATTTCTATCACAGTTTGAAATTTATAGCATAGCTATTAAATATTGAAATTTAAATTAGAATAGAATATTTCAAAATGGTACAGTATAAAATTTCATAAAAAGTTTAGCTTCGCAGAACATTCTCGTGTCCGGAGAACGCTTCCGCTTATTTACTACTTTGAAATATGTGTTTCACTTTTTAAACTCTACTTTGTTTATGAAATGAGTATAGCGAGAGATGGAGGAGATGGAAGTATCACAATCACAATGATTTCTTTTGAATTACATTAATATGATCGAGGTATTACAGGTCTCAGTGAAATACAATATTAAAGAATAATTAGAGTGATATTTAAGGTCCATATGCAGCACCAGCTGTATTCTCTTCTAAGGGAATCGAAGCACGCTACAACAAAAAAGCAAGTGATATTGAAGCACATCTGCTGAAAACATCAATTCTGCCAAATTCGATGAAAACTATTACATCGCGTGATTTTCGAAATGGACCAGCTCCATCACCTGGCAGTGTCTCAGAGGCATTCGCCGATGAAACGGATTTTCAAGTATGTTTATCAATTCCGATTGGCAATACGTTGAACAGATTCTTGGTTGTTAGTTAAGATATCTTGTATCTCAGTATCTGCAAATATCGCTAAGTCAATTCGATAGTGATGGTATTTGTACTCCTTCAACAAAACCGTAGTTCTACTTTCGTTTTCAAGTGAATTTATTAGTATCCGATTGGCATTGTCATTGCTTTTACGTTATTCAATAACTAAACGAAGCGTTTTTGGTCCTAATAACTTTTATTACTTTCTTATTGTTTGCTCAGTTAGAACAGATAATAACAGACAATATATTAGCAGTTTAAGTTATGCCTTGAGAAAAATTTGCTTCCTGATCTGATTCTTGCTTCAAAATCCATAATTCCTTCACTTCACAACTTATTTTTGTGATTATATATTTCTCGATTTTTTAAATAAAAAAGATGATATTGATTATATTAGAATATCAACAACTGTTGTCAACTGAAATATATAACAGAAAGTTCTTTAGATGACTATTTATTGTTGCATGCGTTGTTGTTCGTCAAATTACTGATTCTGAAATGTGTCAAAAATTGATGGTAAGAGCAGTTTAACCGATAAACATCCAGTATTTGAAATGGTTAAACAGAAAAAAAATGATGGATTTAAGGAAGATAGCATATTACAAAAGCATATCCTGCCACTTTATATAGCATATCTCACGATGACGAAATAAGCGCATGTCGTCATATTCTGTGACATAATTCAATAAACTGTCGTTAGAATACTGTCGTCAAGTTTGCGTTGCTAAAATATTACTGTTTGCTGATTTATTTATATTTATGCATAAAACTCTTAATATTTTTAGAAAATCATTTTTGATTTGATTGTTGAACTTCCAGACGTTTATGCCACGTCCATATTATAGTCGTCCAAATCGCGATGATCCGGATTATTTTGATTTTGATTTGCAATATTCTGTTGATCTGTACAAGCGTCCAGAAGGCAAATATATTCCACGAGGGTAATTTCTTTTTTCTTTCGTTTCATATTTAACAGTATATTATTGTGATTGAAAATGGCTGTTAATAGTGACAATTTGAGATGTAGACCTCAAATATATTCGCAAATGTTGTATTTACTTTATAGCGTGCAGAATGTCAAGTGACATCATTCTCCGTTTCAAATTTTCAATTCAATTTCATTTCTCATTCTTAGGCCACAAACGTGGGAAGAGAAATTGTTACGCGAATCAAGTTCGAAGGGCGATGCACCAGTATCAACTTACATGTTTACAAAGGTACTTTTCTCGAAATTCTTAATTTCTGATTTTAATCCGGTCTTTCTAAAATCTGCATTTAACTTCGGCAGTGGGAATTTCTCGAAGGGACAATTTAAAGTCTGATGTATACTCCATTAGTTTTTTTTAGGAATTTCATGTGCAGTTATTAAATCTGATAATTTTCTCTATGAATTTTCTGAATAGTCCGGTTGTCAAATTTTTGACGAATAAGCGTTTCCAGACTAAAGTAACAAAAAGGGAACCAATAGATTCAGTGAAGTACATGGAAATGTTGCTTAAGGGTGATACGGATTGGCGTACTGCTGGTACATCCTACCTGAGTGCTGCACTGCGAACTCCATCATTTTGGGAACATCGATTCCAATCAATTGGTCGAGAAGTTCGTGAAAGCAATCCGATTTCATTTGACAGCCTTGCAAGGTTAACTTTAATCAATCATATTTCATTAAAACTAATCAGGTTTGCCGGAAGGAATTTTCTGCTAATCTGCTAATTATAATAACTAAATACTTAAGATTCAATCTACAATTCGTATCCAAGCCATATGTCTACATGGAATTCTTAGCATAACTTTTGTGATACTACCGTTCAACTTTCCACACTATATCCTGTTATATATCCTGCTATATGTTTAGTTATGCGATATTATTCTTAGAAAATATGTTAAGCTGCAATTATTCATTGTCATTTTCATTACCTTTCCCTTTTTTTCGCTTCGAATGCTAAAAAAAAAAGAAAAAGAAAGAAATTACAAACCACCGCCTACGTATTACCTGAGAGTGAATGGTTGTGGAAGTGAAAGGTAATGAGAAGCAGAATTTTTTCCGCTCCACTTAAGGAAACTTTGGAACACCTTACGAATCATATTTTAAGAAAAACTTTGCAGTTTAATAAAAAACAAACCCAGATTTTCTGAAATCTCTTCAATAGTTTTTCGACACTTTTGCACATTGAAATTTCATGGATGTCTCTTGAATTACACTTTCTGTGGAAGGATTTTCTCTTAATTACAGGAATAAGCCAATACCAAATCGTTTCACGGAATATCACGATCCAGACTTCGAAGATTTATCAGATTTTGACGACTAATTTCGAAAATCAAATTGCAAAATTCGAATAGCACACGATCGTAATATGTTGTTACTTATATCCAAATAATGGAATCGTGTGAAGTACGGTTGCTTAATATTTGTTTACTTTATTACTTAAAACGATTGCAGGTACTATTGTCCTGTCAATTGAATTCCATATAATTTGCTTAAAGAATTGAATAAATGACTTCCGATCTATATGTTTGCAATTCCTTTTTTCGTGAATAATCGAAGTAATTTATACGAATGAATGAATCTGTTGGATTTTTAGAAATTTGCAAATCTGAATATTCTTTCGAATATTTGGTTGCAATGCTCACATGTAATAGTGCTTGCATGTATGTTTTTTTGAAAACTATTTCTATATAGTCTTTGGAAATTAGTATTAAGAGACTAATTAGTTACGCATCTGCTGATTAAATTGATTCGTTTTAAATTCTTCATCCATTTTTAATTTAAAGTTCGGATGCGGGTTCATGCTGCTCACTCCAATGCGGATGATACCACTGTTCATTGCAAATAATTTTTGAAAAAAATTTTCATAAAATAATTGTGAGAGGATTTCAATTTGACAATTTCCGCTACATTTAATATTCAATTCAATTCAACTCATGTTGTAGAATATAATTAATTTCTTAAAAATATTTTCTACAACATAAAATAATCCAGTGCCCCAATCACTCTTACAACAATAGTTAAATCAATAGCATTAGTCACATCAGGCCTTGCTACTAATATATTAAGTAAGCCAGTTTTACTTATGTGCTTCATTTGCATATTTTTTAGATATTTGCACAGTCTTCTAGCCGTATTATGTTGGATTGTGAAACACATTGTTTAGACCTTATTTTTGAATCCGAAATTGGTTCAATATTTTTTACAAAAGTGAGAGAACAAAAAAAGTTGGTAAATACAAGGAGAAAAGGAAAACTGAGAAGGAAAGGAATAAAAAGTAGAGAGAATTGAGAAGTCATAGACAATTGGATATTTTAGACCCACATTTTGTAATCTCAGTATTTGAATCTTAACTCATACTGTTGTGCAACTCATTGAGGTAATTTAACCTCAACTATCCATCCAGATTTATAGTTCCGCTTGCATTATTGGCAAACATCATTATGGACAATTCAAGAAAATGTATTTTGAATTTGTCATACAGTTACAAAATTATGTAAGTTAAGTTTGATTTACAATAAAGTATTGCTGTAGTGTTTCAGGAAAAACAATTTGTTCGAGAAAGATATGGTCACTTATTGACTTTATATCTCGATGTTCGATGTGTTGTAAATTTATCGTTGTTTTCTTCTTTTCGGTTTCTTGGGTGGTTCATAATTACTTAAGTTCTTTAATTTATTTGAAAAAATCGCAGTCTTTGTTGTATGGAAAGCTAACTGTTACTTCAAATGATCATTAGAGTTTTCTTACGAATCTCATTCTCAGCAGTGTTTTGTGATAAGAGCCTGATAATAATTGCCAAGTCTAACACCTAACCTAAATCCAAAAATTCGGATGAGATATACTAAAAATTGGACGGAAAAGAAATAGAGGCGGAAAATTTGCAGATACCGGTTGAAAACTTTCAGAGAGTCGGGATTTTTTAAAATATTCTAAAATTATTAATCTGGAGCTGTTTTTAATCCAAGAACGCTAAAATTCCGATCGATAAATGCTGGAATAAAATCTGTTGCTATAGAGAGAGGAGTAGGAGAAGGCGAAAAGTGAAACGAGTGACACTGGAATTGAACTTTACCGGCATTCTTGAAAGGAATCTTACTACAAATCAATAAATATGTATGAATTATACATTTTTTGATACGAGTATGAAAATTTCTAACGTTAATTAATTACAAGTGAAAATGGGTATGTTCAGTATGATTTTACTATTAGCCTGAAATAATAATATTTTAATTCACCAATCAACAAAGGAAGTTAATTAAACAATAACAAAAGTAAGAAATCCTGTTTATAAAAAAGATGAGATGAAATAAGGAATGACCTCATTTTAACTCCTTTATTCAATTTAGTTCAATGCCAATGGGCAATAGTATTTGTTTTCATAGCCTTTAGTAATAGAGTAGAAGTATCGAACTAAGACAGTAAATTAAATCGAAATTTTAAAAAGAATATTATCCAAAGGGAAAAAAAAGCAACGGAAAAGATATGAGATACCAAAAATATGCAACCAAATTACTTTTTTGCTCATATTCTGGAACAGTTTTAGTTCGTAAAATCAATTTGGCACCAAAACTCTGCTGAAAAAGTTAACCAAGTTTCAGTTGCAATTATAAGACTTGGGATGCTTCCACTGCTAGAGAAATGACATCTAAACAACTTTTACTTAATTTATACTAGTTGAAATTTCTGTCATTGCATTTTTGAATCACTAAGCTCGCAGCCAAGAAGTTTTAAAAGTTCTGCAACTTCCAATACTTGCCTTGAAAATTTGTTACGATGAGGTAATTTATGGATGTTAATTGCTGGAAATGAATAATTTATGACTGGCAATAATTTTTCTCTTCCTTTGATACCGATAATAATTGGTGTCAGACCTTTATTGCAATAAAAGAACAATGTTATTTCCTGATTAATCTTTGTCCTCAACTATTCGAATATTGAAAGAAGAAAATAATCTTTCAGTTCTGGCTCTTATCCTCAAAAAATATATATATTATAGTGCTTAGAAAAAAACATATGCGTTGTTATCAAGCTCAAAATGAACACAAATTTAGCATATATATAAATAGATAGATTAGATTAGATAGATAGATAGATGGATAGATAGGTAGATAGATAGATAGATTAGATTAGATAGATTAGATAGATAGGTAGATAGATTAGATAGATATAGATAAATAAATAGATAGATAGATGGATGGATAAATAGATAGATAGATTAGATTGGATTAGATTAGATAGATAAATAGATAGATAGATAGATAGATAGATAGAT